TGTTCATCTTTTCTGTTGTTTCTTTCCCCATAAGGGGCTGATTGCTTTAAGTACTAAATTTTTAGAAAGCTTTTATAGTGTGACTGGTTAATAAAAAGCAGACATTTCAGGAGCAACATGCATTACCTACCAAGAAGAGTTTTTTAATTTTCAGTCCTTTAGTGGACTGCGTTTTGCAGCAAGCCTCACCTATAAAGTATCCTAAACCTTGATACAGCATGTTACAAAACCTGTCTGTTAATTTAAGGTGTATTTGGGTCTGTAGATGTGCGGTTCGCTTAAAATATATTACATTGCCTTATTAAGTTTGGAGCTTGTTTCTTTGTGCTTTCTTTACAGGCATCAAAAGTTGTAAAAGGTTTATTTCAGAGCATGTGATAGTTTTGTGTGTGATTCTTTGTCCCTGTTCTAAACTGTTGTTAACCACTGAAGTGAACCTTCTCCTGGGTTTGGCCTTTTGGTATTCATAGTGTATTCAGAACCTAATTACAGATTAGTCTATATTTGAGACTTTTAGAGCAAGTATCAGAAGGCTCAAAAAGAAAACGTGAGTAGCAGTGTCATTTCATGTGGCGATAAAGAGACCCCAAGCATGAATGGAAGTCAAGCCATCTGAAGAAAAAAAGAAAGAGAGAAGGAACTTCATTCACCAAGACTGACGGTTTATGAGTTAGGGATTATAGGAGTATTCATGACTCAATCAAGAAGCACAATGAATTGATGCTTGAAATAGCTCATCTTTTAAGTAAACATTAAATAAATGGAAAATAGACCTGGTATTCGCTACATGTAGAATTGGCTATCCCATCGTAAAAGAAATAGTTTGTTAATCCCTTACTGAGTTGGCTTAATTTACCAAGTAATTCACAAATTTTATAAGAATTCTCTAGTTATGAATATTTGTTAAAAGTAGTAGTAGAAAAGGGAATTTATAATTAGCCATGGTGATCTGTACACATTTCGATAGGGTAGTAATTTCTAGTCATAAAATAGTTGAATACAGTAGGATACTAGAATTGGAAAACAATGTAATATTGGAACATTAAGTTGGATCTCAACAGTGGTCTCAAGCATAGCAACATTTGTGAGGGCCACACAGAACCAGGCAATGTTTTCTTTCAGTTACATAGGGCTGCTGTGAGTCAGAACCGACTGACGGCACCAGACAACAACAAATGGTATCTGACAGTCGAATATTTTATTTGGTAACATTCAACCTCTTTCTTATGACTTGCTTTGTTATAGCTAGATAACAGTAGTATGTAAGACTGTGTTGGAAGTTTATAGTGAAATTTAAATGAATTAATTCAAATGTGGGAAATAACACTGTTTCATTTGTGATGTAGTGTCCTTGTGAAGCATGAAATCAGAATTTAGTTTCTAAAACTACAAAACACACTTAGCACTTTTCTGCCTCGATAATGAAGTATTGTAAGACCTGAGTCTTATCTGTTCCACGTTTGGGTTTGCCCACCAGTGTTCCTTGACCTTCATTGTCTGCGTGTGTGTGTGTCTACCCTGCCTCCTGTCCCAGGCTTGCTCTAGCTCTTCTGGTCCTGACTTTTGCTTGTTTGGCAAATGATCTAACATATAGCAAGTCTACCAGGTGTTTTTCCTCTTTAATAATCCACAGCCCTTACTGTCTTTGCCAAGAGTGATATTTTTGGGGAACCTCATTTAAAAAAAAAAAAAAAAAAAAATTTAGTGAGTATGTGCAATGAGCCAGCCATTGTTAACACTGAAAATACTGAACTTTTTCTTGACTGATTTAACATTTGCGTTATTCTCAATGATTTCTTCAATGGTGTGTAAATGTACTCTCTTCAAGAGGCAGTGCTATTAATGAGGGCATAATAGTATATTGTGCATTTTTTAGTCATCCCAGGCACCAGTCTGTTTAAGAGGTACTTGGTAACTATTGTCTTCCTAAATTCTTGCCATCAAATATAAAACTTAAAACAAATACACTGAAAATGTTAGCATGGGTTGTGCTGCCCACTTCATCGCCAGCATGCAGTAGTAGATCTAGCATGAGTTTCTGAATCCAAGGACATAGATTCAGTCTGGCTAGGCTATCGGTTGCTTTAATGTCCTCATTTTTAGCAGTGCCCCCTGCAGACTGTCAGGTGAAAGGAAAATGGCATATGAAGTCTAGAATTTGAAATCACCCAAAACATACTAGGTACAAGGTAGTGAGTAAGCAAGGAATGCTTCTTCAAGGCTTTGTATAACCTTGTGTCCACACATTCCAGTTGTGCATTATACAGATGAAAGAAAGAACTACAACAACAACAACAACAAATGTTTTCTATTTGATACTAACTAAAGGGATGTTTGTCACAATTGTTCTTCGTGCTTGTGTATTTATTTTTAATATATTCCCCTCTCTCCCCACCGTTACTTCCTAGTAACATAGAAATTGCCCATGGTCATTTTTAAAATTTCCAAATGTGGAATATTCTAACTGTAAAATATTTTGATTTACAAAATTTTTTTAGGGGAAACGTTTCAAAGATTTTTATTCTTTGGTTTGTACACTAAATTTAAATAGCCCTTTTGCTTTCATATAGGGGAAACAATTGCTTATCCTTAATCTTTCAAGAATTTGGTTTGAATTCAGACCTGCATTAGAGTGCTCTTGGCCTCTCAAATATAAATAGACGTTGCTGTGGACAGTGTCTCATGTGTGACACCACTGTGCAATGTCCACAGCGGTCTGTCCAGCTGAAGATGCAGATGTGTAACTAGAGCTGGCCCTGCAGCTGCCTGATTGTACTAGGTTATGTCCCGAATAGAATGGGATTTCCTCTGCTTATCCAGGATAGCTTTTCCAAGTAGAAACAGTTCTCAGTGAAATGTTTAGAGAAACTGGCAAGGCTCTAAATACCTGTTGTAGATTTTCATGTGTTGCTTTGTTTTTGTTTTTAGACTCCATGTATTTCTACCCTACCTCCCCGACACTTACTCTAAAAAATTATTTGACTGTTGAGCTACACTTACTTGGAACCCTCTAAATATCCATTGATGAAATTACCTAAGCAACTTCTTGTTAAGTCTCTTCTAGTCGGTTCCGACTCACAGCAACCCTACTCTGGGTTTCGAGGAGTGGCTAGAACCAACCTTGCAGTTTAAACCAACCTTGCGGTCTATTGCTTATCCTGCAGCACCAAACCAGGAATAAGTTTTAAAGTAAGAATACAGCCTTACAATGGAAAAATATGTTTCTGGTTTACCTGCTAATTAAAAAATGGAAATCTACCTGCCAAAAACTACAGACTACACTTCCTGGTGTGGTGCTGCGGTTTAATGCTCCAGATGCAAAGCCGTTGGAACTGCAAGGTCTGCGGTTCAAGCTCGCCAACTGCTCTTTGTAAGCCTATACAGCCCTCTCTATGGGTCAGAACTGACTCGACGGCACTTAACAACAACAACAACACATTTCCAAAAGATAAACTGGGATTATTTTGTCCAGTTTGTCTAGGTTAGCTTTATACGTGAGTTTATGCTGCCTTCCTTTGTGATACTGTAACATATTTTCTCAATAAACAGTTTGATTAAAGCAAGTTTTTTCATTCTTTCTCTCACTTTGTCTCCCTTTCCTTGTTTCCTTTCTTTCATTCTCTCTTTATCTCTCTCTCTCTTTCTGTCTTTTCTTTCTTTCTTTACAGCTTTTGTACTAGTCTTAATGTAATACCAAAAATTACATGTTAAATTACTAGGAAACGAATATGAGAGCATTGTATTTTTTATATACCACCATGGTAGGCTTTGTTGAGTTCCTGCATTGCCAGTAGGAATTCATGAAAAGGACAAGTCTTACCCTCACTGGGTGCTTGTCACTTGCAGGATCACTGGGTAAACGGATACTGATACCTTCATTTGCATATTATTTACTTTTGTTTGTAAAAGATACAAATACTAGTTCTAAGGTGAATGTTAAATTCACCTCGGAAACAGGAGTTTTCTGTAGATAAAAGGACCCCACTTTTCAGTTTTGTCTCTAGATCATTTGTTGTGAACCAATCAGTTTGCTTTAATTGATAATACCCACTAATTAGTTAAATTGATAAAAGGACAAAAGCCATGTGGTATCATATTTAATATCACCTATATTTTAAAATGGGTACGTATTGAAGTTAACAATGAAGTAGTCTCATAAGAGCTACCCTACTTTTAAGTTTAGGAGATCATTATGTACTGTAAATAGTTTACATCTGTGAGGAGAGCTTTACATTTCACAGAGAGAAAATCAAGAGTTATTGATCTTCTCTTGCATGTTGTAAATCTATCTCCCCTGCTCCCCCCCAAGTCCCTTATGCCTTTTAACTTTATGACATTTTGGCATATAAGAATGATAGTGGTGCTGGTGTGCTGGGGAGTTGTTTTAATTCATAGCAACCTTGTATACAGTTTCTGAAGGAGCAGAAAGCCTAATTTTTCTCCCAAGCAGCGACTGGGTGAATTTGACCTTCTGATCTAGCAGTTAGCAGACCAATTCATAACCTACTCCACTACCAGGACTCCGTGGCATGTAAGAGTATAACATTTTATTTAGTTGACCTTTTTCTTTCTAACACCGCTCACTACTTTACCCTAAAAAGTCATTTCCCAGTTTAAGCTAGTTATATACTCACAGGTAAATTCTTCTAATTTGTTTTTAATGGTCTCATTGTCTTAAATTTCCCTCTGTCCCTGAGGTTGCTAACTGTTAAGTCCTTTTTTTGTGCAAATGCCCATAATTCTTATTAGACTCTCAAAGGGATCTGTGGCACACTTCTTCCTGGTACCCACTCACCACCACCAGCACACACACAAACACTAAAAAATGGCTGAGAGCTACAATTGGAATCCGTCTACTTTATTTGAGTATATGTGGTAAGGTTAAGACTCAAATTTTTCCTTTTTTTCCCAAATAGCTAAACAGGTATCCCTTTGCGATGCCTTTGAAAAAGAAGTTTGTTTTTATTAGACTAATTCTTTGTCTCTTTTTATCTCCACAGAAAAAGTTAGAGAAATTCAAGAAAAACTTGATGCTTTCATTGAAGCCCTTCATCAGGAGAAATGAATTGTATTCTGTGAGTAAATGTTCTTGTTTTTCATTTGGTTTGTAATTCAATTCGACTGCTTCTTAATTGCTTTTCATAATAGTTTTAATAGCTTGAATCTGAAACTAGGTTCTAAACCCCATATTTATGAAGTTTGTATAACTGGATTTCCTTTTGGCTAAAATTGAAATAACATGCAGAACTCATTGTAAAAAGAAGCGACATTAGCTGACAAGGGACTAAGATAGTTCCTAATATGCCATTGACTAATAAATTTTCTGTATGTAAAGAATTGAACTGCTCTTACTTTAATCCATTAATTGGCAAATTTTGTAGCCATCATCATTTCATTCTTCAGTGTTCCTGTCCAGTGGATAAGTGTGTGTATGTTGAGGATTCAGCTTGAGAAACTTACTTTGGCATGATTAAAAACCTTAATAATTGTACTTAATCTCATTCTCTTATATTTAAAAATATTTGGCTAAACCTTTTTCTTGTGTAAAGTACCATATTTTTATGCAAGTGCCTGTGCTTTATGTGGTTTTTATCAATCATGCAACTCCTCACACATCGCTTTCCTATGGTCTGTGTGTGTCATATGGATGTGCACATTATTTTCATGGGCACATTATATTTGAAAATACGGTACCCTATGTAGCCTTAGAATTTTATACTTTTCAGAATATGTTGACTCTTGCTTGTCAGATTCTAGAGTCCTACCATTATGAACATGATCCCAATAAACTCCTCGAAACCAAACACATGCTGAATTTCAGACTCTGACTTAGCATCCTCTTGGACAGAGCAGAAATGCACTTTAGGGTTTCCAAGACCGTAACTCTTTATAGGAGCAGGCAGCCTCGTCTTTTTCCCACCTAGAGCTGCTGGTGGGATGAACTCTGACCTTGCAGTTAGCCTCCCAATGCTTAGCCCATAGAGCCACCAGGGCTCCTTATGATCCCAGTAATATATATCTAAGGACTTCCCAGGTGTCCTGGTGTGGCACTATAGGATAATGCACTGGCCTCCAGGTCAGTTTGAACTGCAAGATCAGTGATTCAAACTCACCAGCTGCTCCTCAGAAACCCTTTACAAGGTCACTGTGAGTCAGAACTGACTTGATGGTACTTAACAACCACAATAACAACAAGGACTTACCATGGAGGTCTGGTTTGCCATTGTTGGATAAACACTGGACTGCTAATCACAAGGTTGATGGGTCAAACCCACCTTGGAAGCCACTCCTTTGAAACAGGCTCACTATGAGTTAGAACCGACTTGACAGCACCTAACAACAGCAACAAAGACTTCCCATAGTAGCATGTTGTTGTTAAGTGCCATCAAATTGGTTCTAATTTAGGGGGACCCTGTGTCCAACAGAACAAAACATTGCCCGATCCTATAGCATCCTCATAATCCATCTCCTTAAATGTCTTCCACTTTTTCCTTGACTGTCTACTTTGCCAAGCATGATCTCCTTTTCCAGGCACTGGTCCCTCCAGATAACATGTACAAAGTACGTGAGGCAGAGCTACTTTGTCTTGCTTCTAAGGAGCATTATGGCTGTATTTTTTTTTTCCAGGACAAGTCCATGGTATATTCAAGGTTCTCTGCCAACACCATAATTCAAATGCATCGATTCTTTACTGGTTTTCCTTATACATTATCCAGGTTACATGTGCATATGAGGTGATTGAAAATACCATGACTTTGGACAGGTGACTTAGTTCTCAAAGTGACATGTTTGCTCTTTAACAGCTAAAGAGGTCTTTTGCAGCAGATTTGCCCATTGCAGTGCATCATTTGAGTTCTTGACTGCTGCATCCATGAGCATTGATTATGGATCCAAGTAAAGTGAAATCTTTGACAACATTAGTCTTTTCTGTTAATCATGACGTCATCTATTGGCCCAGTTGTGAGGATTTATGTTCCCATTACATTGGGTTGTGATCTATACTAAAGACTTTGATCTTCATCAGTAAGTGCTTCAAGTCCTCTTCACTTTCAGTACACAAGGTTGTTCATATGCTTATCACAAGTTGTTAATGAGCCTTCCTCCAGTCTTGATGCCTCCAGTTCCTCTTCATGTAGTCCAGTTTCTCAGATTATTTGCTCAGCATTCAGGTTGAATAAGTATGGTGAAAGGATATGACCTAGAAACACATCCTTCCTGAATTTAAACCATTTGGTATCCCCTTTTTGTATTGTTTCTTGTGCAGGGTCTGTGTGAGCTCAGTTAAGTGTCCTGGGATTCTTAGTCTTTGTAGTGTTACCCATAGTTTGGTATGATCTGCACAGCTGGAATGCCACAGTAGCATAGTCAATTTTAATTATCTCTGAAGAGTTACTGTTAGTAAATCTTTTTCTTTTACTGAAGAAGTTTAAAGAAAGGAAGTCTGTAATTATGCAACTTATTTTAAGTATTTAATTAATCACATTAAGAGCCTTACCATATAGGCAGCCTGCAACACATTCAGAACTGGAAGAACTGTTAAAAATTCATTCTCCACCTACACTCAGTTCTGTGCTCAGAAAAGACCTCTAAACCGAACTACCCGTTTCCTCTAGTGTGGGGGAAATACATTTAAAAAAAAAAAAGCTGGAGAGAAGCACAGTTCAGATTTTGTATCATTCACCATACCAGCAGTAAATGGAAGAGGAGGAGGTTAGATAGCCAAGGCTTTAGAGTGTAGCTATATTTCTTGTCTGTCTCTTTCATAGATATATACAAAAATATATCTAGAAGCTACATATCAGTCATCTTTCACACAGACCAAAAATATTTTTAAGACTCCCTGGTGTTGCTATGGGATTTTAGTGGATGAAAATTTATTTTAAAAATATAAAGTGCTGTGGTATTATCTTCATCATACTTACTATTATTAATAATTATTTTTAGGCACAAGCATATCTTGGCTTAGAGGTTTTCCTCTTCAGCCTCAGGATTCACCTGGTGTTTTTGTTCACAGACATGGCCATGACGGGTAGGAAGGGATTCACAAAGCTGTAGAAACGTCATTAAGCATATAATGCTGAAATGAAGAGGCTGAAAACTAGCTCATGTTTTACATTGGACTCCTGATGTGGCGCTGTAGGATTAGCACGGGACAGCCAACCACAAAGTCAGCAGTTCAAACTCATCAGCTGCTCCTAGGAAACTCTGTACAGGGTTGCTGTGAGTCAGAACCGACTTGATGGCACTTAACAACAGCAACAATGTCTCTTCCCTTCCTAAGTGCAACATACAGGTTGTCATTGATGCTGGAAGCATGCCTTTTCTGCCAAAGTGGCTATCCCAACAGCAGGCCATGATAGCCCTTCAGGTCAGGGCATGATGATACTGTGCACAGAGAGGTCCTTGCCATGGAGAACCATCCCACTGCCCTTTTCCCCTACTTCCCTATGGTCTCTAAAGCCCTTCCCCTGGCATGCATGACTCTGTATCTACAACGTATCTGGGAATTGTAATATCCATTTTGTATAATGCCAATCCATTTAAAAGAATAAATCTGACAAAACGGTAGCTTTGATTGATTCTGACCATTTATAAAAAAGGTTCTGGTGGGGTGCTGTGGATTACGCACTGGACCACAAGGTCCATTTGAACCACAGGTCGGTGATTCAAATTCATCAGCTAGTCTTTACAGGGTCTCTTATGAGTCGGAACTGACTCAACTACATTTAGCAGCAACAACAACACTAAACACAAGGTCGGCAGTTCAAAACTACCAGGTCCTCCATGGAAACCGTATACGGGGTTATTATGAGTCGGAACTGACTCAATGGCAGTTAATAACAACAACAACAAGCATCCTAAAGAGTAGTAATATTGTCGTTGTTAGGTGCTGTCAAGTTGATTGCAACTCATAAGGACCCTGTGTAGTGTTTATGAGGCTTTTAAATCTTTGTGGGAATGAAATCCTCATCTTTTTCCTGCAGAGTGGCTGGTGGCCTTGAACTTACAACTTTGTGATTTGTGGTTCAGTGCCTCTCTTACGGTGTCACCACACTCCTAAATAGCATTGTTAAATACTGTAGAGTTGATTCTGACCCATAGCGACCCTGTATAGGGTTTCTAAGAAGCAGCTGGTGAGCTTGAACCACCAACTTGCAATTCAAACGGCTTTGCAGTCTGACGCATTAGCCCACAGCGCCACATCAGGACTCCAGATACCATTGTTAGTTGTCATCAAGTCAGTTCCAACTCATTGCATTTCCATATGTGCAGAGTAGAACTGCTCCATAGGGTTTTCAAGACTGTGGACTTTAGGAAGCTGACCCCCAGCCCTGTCTTACCTGTCAACCTTCCAGCCAGTAATCAAGTGCTTTAGCCATTTACATCACTCGGGGACTCCAAAGAATAATAGACTGGGGAAAATACGCATATTTTTCAATTACAGCCTTTAACAAATAGGAGTTCTTCAGCCTGATAATTTATTTAAAAATGGTTTTGTTATTTTTAAGTGTCAGCGAGTCAGTTCTGACTTATAGAGACCCTGTATAGGCATCAAGATTGGAGGAAGGCTCATTAACAACTTGTGATAAGCATATGAACAACCTTGCGTACTGAAAGTGAAGAGGACTTGAAGCAGTTACTGATAAAGATCAAAGTCTTTAGTATAGATCACAACTCAGTGTAATGGGAACATAAATCCTCGCAACTGGGCCAGTAGATGACGTCATAATTAACAGATAAAAGACTATAAAGTTGTCAAAGATTTCACTTTACTTGGATCCATAATTAATGCTGTAAATCTTTACAGGAGCAGAAAGCCTCATCTTTCGCCTGCTGAGTAGCTGGTGGGCTCAAACTGCTAACCTTGTGGTTCACAGTCCAAAGCTTATCCTATAGAGCCACTGTACTCCTTTACGTAGTTTTAAGTAACTAGCATTCTAATACTTGCTGAGGTTGTATATGCTTAAAGTAGTCATATACAGATTCTTTCTCTACCCATCAATTTCAATAAAATAAATTTTTTGCTCCTTTTCTATAAGAAAATAAATTACAGTATTTTTATGATTC